CCCCCCTGGGGGGCCCCCTGGGGGGGCCCCTGGGGGGCCCCCTGGGGGGCCCCCGTATGGGTTCACATGCAGCGGAGTTTCAGGTTGTGTTTAATAGCCTGGATAGAGATGGCGATGGTGTGTTGTCTGTTTCTGATTTATTATATTTTATAAATGTAATATTAGAGCAGAAGAAAGAAGAAAAAGATATATTGCTTTTGATAGAAGATATAGTTGGTGCGGGGGCCCCCAGGGGTGGGGGGGCCCCCGGGGGTGGAGGAGGGGCCCCCGGGGGGGGGCCCCCTGGGGGCCCCCCTGCTATAAATTTTTCGGTTTTTTTAGGGTTTATAGAACGAGAAATAGAAACATTAAGCGATGATAAATTAATAAATATATTTAATTATTTAGATGAGGAGAAGAAGCAAAAGATAGACGCGAAAAATATAAATAAAATAAATAATAAATTAGGGTTTTGTCTGGGTGTTGATGGTGCAGCACAGTTGCTGCAGATAGCAGCAGCAGAAGGAGAAACAGCAGCAGCAGCAGCAGCAGATTCTATTAATTTTAATCAGTTCTGCTCATTAGTTAGAAAATGTTTACCTAAATAGATGCTGCTGCTGCTGCTGCTGCTGCTGCAGTTGCTGCTGCTGCAGTTGGTGCTGCTGCAGTTGGTGCTGCTGCAGTTGGTGCTGCTGCAGTTGGTGCTGCAGGTGCTGCTGAAGGTGGCGCTGCAGTTGGTGCTGTAGTTGCTGCTGCAGTTGCTGCTGCAGTTGCTGCTGCAGTTGCTGCTGCGGTTGCTGCTTCAGTTGCTGCTGCAGCAGCTGCTGCAGTTGCTGCTGCTGCAGTTGATAGCAGCAGAAGAACCAGCAGATTTTTCTCGTTAGTTTAAAAACGCCTGCACAGGTAGTTGCAGCAGCAGCAGCAGCAGCAGCAGCACTTGCTGCTCCTGCTGCTGCTGCTGCTGAGTTGCTGCTGTTGGATTTGGTGCTGCAGCAGGTGCTGCTGATGTCGGTGCAGCAGCAAGTGCAGCAGCAAGTGCTGCAGCAGCAGCAACGATGCAGCAGATTTTAATAAATTATGTTCTCTATTTAAGATATTTCAATTGAGTTAATTGCTGCTGCTGCTGCTGCAGCAATTGCTGCTGCTGCTGCTGCAGTTGCTGCTGCAGTTGCTGCTGCAGTTGCTGCTGCAGTTGCTGCTGCAGTTGCTG